TTACTGATATATGCTATATCATAGTCGTAATGCGCCACTTACTTACTGATATATGCTATATCATAGTCGTAATGCCACATCTACTTACTGATATATGCTATATCATAGCCTTAATGCGCCATCTACTTACTGATATATGCTATATCATAGTCGTAATGCGCCACCTACTTACTGATATATGCTATATCATAGCCTTAATGCGCCACTTACTTACTGATATATGCTACATCATAGTCGTAATGCGCCACTTTCTTACTGATATATGCTATATCATAGTCGTAATGCCCCACTTACTTACTGATATATGTTATATCATAGTCGTGATGCGCCATCTACTTACTGATATATGCTATATCATAGTCGTAATGCGCCACCTACTTACTGATATATGCTATATCATAGTCATAATGCGCCACTTACTTACTGATATATGCTATATCATAGTCGTAATGCCACATCTACTTACTGATATATGCTATATCATAGCCTTAATGCGCCATCTACTTACTGATATATGCTACATCATAGTCGTAATGCGCCACCTACTTACTGATATATGCTATATCATAGCCTTAATGCGCCACTTACTTACTGATATATGCTACATCATAGTCGTAATGCGCCACTTTCTTACTGATATATGCTATATCATAGTCGTAATGCGCCACTTACTTACTGATATATGCTATATCATAGTCGTGATGCGCCATCTACTTACTGATATATGCTATATCATAGTCGTAATGCGCCACCTACTTACTGATATATGCTATATCATAGTCATAATGCGCCACTTACTTACTGATATCTGCTATATCATAGTCGTAATGCGCCACTTACTTACTGATATATGCTATATCATAGTCGTAATGCCACATCTACTTACTGATATATGCTATATCATAGCCTTAATGCGCCATCTACTTGCTGATATATGCTATATCATAGCCGTAAAGCGCCACTGACATACTGATATATGCTATATCATAGTCGTAATGCGCCATCTACTTACTGATACATGTATATGCTATATCATAGTCGTTATGCGCCATCTACTTACTGATATATGCTATATCATAGCCTTAATGCGCCACTTACTTACTGATATATGCTACATCATAGTCGTAATGCGCCACTTTCTTACTGATATATGCTATATCATAGTCGTAATGCGCCACTTACTTACTGATATATGTTATATCATAGTCGTGATGCGCCATCTACTTACTGATATATGCTATATCATAGTCGTAATGCGCCATCTACTTACTGATATATGCTATATCATAGTCGTAATGCGCCACTTACTTACTGATATATGCTATATCATAGTCATAATGCGCCATCTACTTACTGATAAATGCTATATCATAGTCATTATGCGCCATCTACTTACTGATATATCCTATATCATAGCCTTAATGCGCCACTTACTTACTGATATATGCTATATCATAGTCATAATGCGCCACTTACTTACTGATATATGCTATATCATAGTCGTAATGCGCCATCTACTTACTGATATATGCTATATCATAGTCGTTATGCGCCATCTACTTACTGATATATGCTATATCATAGTCGTAATGCGCCACTTACTTACTGATATATGCTATATCATAGTCGTTATGCGCCATCTACTTACTGATATATGCTATATCATAGTCGTAATGCGCCATCTACTTACTGATATATGCTATATCATAGTTATAATGCGCCACTTACTTACTGATATATGCTATATCATAGTCGTAATGCGCCATCTACTTACTGATATATGCTATATCATAGTCGTTATGCGCCATCTACTTACTGATATATGCTATATTGTAGTTTCAATGTGTCACCTTCTTACTGCTATATGCTATATCGAAGCCGTAATGCGTCATCTTCTTATTGACATTAGTTTGATAATAGTCTTAAAGCGTCACCTACTCAATGACAGTATGTATATAACCTAGTCTGAAAACACCACCCTACATAATGATAGTTATATCCTAGTCTTGAAGCACTAACTACGTAATTACATTAGGTATATCCCAGTCTTAAAGCACCAACTACGTAATTACATTAGGTATATCCCAGTCTTAAAGCACCAACTACGTAATTACATATGTATATCCCAGTCTTAAAGCACCAACTACGTAATTACATTAGATATATCCCAGTCTTAAACCACCACCTCCGTAATTACATTAGATTTATCCCAGTCTTAAATAACCATATACGTTATTACATTAGATATATCTCAGTCTTAAAGCACCACAAAGTAATTACATTAGGTATATCTCAGTCTTAAAGCACCACAAAGTAATGACATTAGATATATCACAGTCTTAAAGCACCACAAAGTAATTACATTAGGTATATCTCAGTCTTAAAGCACCATCTACGTAATTACGTTTGATATATCCCAGTCTTAAAGCACCATATACGTTATTACATTAGATTTATCTCAGTCTTAAAGCGCAACCTCCATAACTACATTTTCTGTATCATAAATTACATCATACTACTTACCACTGTAAAGTATATTTCAACCCGTAACTGACAGGAAAAATCATCGATGTGTCATTGTCCGGTCACGACCGTGTCTTTAATATCCTTCTACAACACGTTACCACCTACGTAACTGTAAACTCGAATATCTATTTTAATCTCGCATGTTCCTGTCGTTCTTCACAGTTTAGAGCTATATAATACAGGTCGCTTAAGGTCAAGTTTGATGAAGCATATCAACACATGCCGCTCTCGTGGTGTGACACGTAAAATGGTATGTAAGACGCAAACTAAAAGACACATTCAATGCAAATGGGGCATTATGTCACTCTGAAAGAGCATCGCATTCAACAATGATAAAGGAATGTTGATTTTGTTGGGGAGTAACAAAAAAAATATTTGTTTAACCTTGACTGAAGTAGTAATGTGTGTGGCGGTGTTTTAGGAACACTGTAAGGACAAAGGTGATTGACCGGGTTACTATATCTGTACTCGGGACCTTGTAACAGCTATATTGACCACAGATAAAGCGATGTGAATGAAGTAAACATGTGCTACTCATTGTTTAGTTTGCTAGAAAGTCGTATCATACTTACTGTATTATCTATATCACAAATGACAACGTGCATTTATTTAACGAATACATTAATTCATATTCTATCTGTATATTCGGACCAAACTCCATAGAAAGCGTCAAAAAATCAGGCTAACAGAGAGAAAACCAAATTAAGCATTCAAGTGTAGATATATTATTCATGCTAGATATCGATCTCAAATATGTTTGTATTCGTTTTGTAAACGCTGTGCCGCCTTATTATGTCTATTTAGTCTACATAATTCTATGTCAACAGTAAACCACTACGTCTGATCCCTTGCATATTTAGTCTCACTATTTCTATGTCAGCAGTTAAACACTACATCTGACCGCTTGCGTATTTAGTCACACTTTTTCTATGTCAGCAGTTAAACACTACTTCTGACCGCTTGCGTATTTGGTTTCACTGTTTCTGTGTCAGCAGTTAAACACTCCCTCTGACGCTTGCGTATTTAGTGTCACTATTTCTATGTCAGCAGTTAAACACTCCCTCTGACGCTTGCATATTTAGTCTCACTATTTCTATGTCAGCAGTTAAACACTCCCTCTGACGCTTGCGTATTTAGTTTCACTATTTCTGTGTCAGCAGTTAAACACTCCCTCTGACGCTTGCGTATTTAGTGTCACTATTTCTGTGTCAGCAGTTGAACACTCCCTCTGACGCTTGCGTATTTAGTGTCACTGTTTCTATGTCAGCAGTTAAACACTCCCTCTGACGCTTGCGTATTTAGTTTCACTGTTTCTGTGTCAGCAGTTAAACACTCCCTCTGACGCTTGCGTATTTAGTGTCACTATTTCTGTGTCAGCAGTTAAACACTCCCTCTGACGCTTGCGTATTTAGTGTCACTATTTCTATGTCAGCAGTTAAACACTCCCTCTGACGCTTACGTATTTAGTTTCACTATTTCTGTGTCAGCAGTTAAACACTCCCTCTGACGCTTGCGTATTTAGTCTCACTGTTTCTGTGTCAGCAGTTAAACACTCCCTCTGACGCTTGCGTATTTAGTTTCACTATTTCTATGTCAGCGGTTAAACACTCCCTCTGACGCTTGCGTATTTAGTTTCACTGTTTCTGTGTCAGCAGTTAGACACTCCCTCTGACGCTTGCGTATTTAGTCACACTTTTTCTATGTCAGCAGTTAAACACTCCCTCTGACGCTTGCGTATTTAGTCTCACCATTTCTATGTTACTACATCTGACCGCTTGCGTATTTAGTCTCACTATTTCTATGTTACTACATCTGACCGCTTGCGTATTTAGTCTCACTGTTTCTGTGTTAGCAGTTAAACACTCCCTCTGACGCTTGCGTATTTAGTCTCACTATTTTTCTGTTACTACATCTGACCGCTTGCGTAATTAGTCTCACTATTTCTGTGTCAGCAGGTAAACACTACCTCTGACGCTTGCGTATTTAGCCTCACTGTTTCTGTGTCAACAGTTAAACACTCCCTCTGACGCTTGCGTATTTAGTTTCACTATTTCTGTGTCAACAGTTAAACACCTCCTCTGACGCTTGCGCATTTAGTCTTATTATTTCTATGCTACTACATCTGACCGCTTGCGTATTTAGTCTCACTATTTCTATGTCAGCAGTTAAACACTACCTCGGTAATATTCTTACCTTGCCACTATTGTCACATCATTCTGAAAAACTGTCCAGAGAGAATTTTAAATCTTTTTTTATTTCAAGGTCAATTTTGTCTGCAATAATTGCATACAAAATGATTTGCTAGGTCAAATTAAATAGTCCTCCTGGATACATGTATTTTCTCCATCGTTAATAAACGAAATATTGACAGTGTGTTGTCATACAGGTCTATACACGATTACATCCGTTCCTTTGTGTTCAGCTGTACCATAAAATGTTTAATATAGTGTCCTTTTGGCTTCTCCCGAATGAATTCAGCCATAGCGAATCAGATCAGCAGCTTTTTCGCCTACCATGATCGTCGGAGCGTTTGTGTTGCCTGCAGGCACGTTTCTCATTACGGAAGCATCGGCAACACGCAGACCAGATATCCCTTTCACCCTTTGGAAAAAATAAAATATTACGCTATTGTATCGTATTATCTTCAACTCTGACTAAAACTGGTATATATAGTGACAGCATAAAATCTTTACAAATTACTTATCTGATATGAGACATCCAGATATCACATCAATTGAACAACAAATAATGAGAATTTAAGGTATCATTCTTCATGACTATTCTTGTCTTAGCTACCTGAGCTGGGGATCCACTACAGCTGACGGATCGTCTTTACTGCCCATTCTGCATGTGGATGTTGGATGGTACACCGTCAGTGTAAAATGTCTCGCATAACATTCCCAGAACTTGTCCGTCCGGAAGTCGTATTGGGAACACAGTTTATAAAGCGGAGATGGATTGTTGACATCCATTCCTATCGATTTCATTGTTTTCGTACCAACCAACTTTTCCACAAACCTAATTCCTGTTATTTAAAACAAGCATCAGGTAATATAAGATATTCTGCTTTTAATATAAAATTTGGAATTTCTTTTTTTCACGATTTCTTACGTTAACAAACATCGTAGATAAATAAGTGACATATATATTTTCATTGTTAAAATATCTAAGGTAATGTAAAAAAAATAAAACAAAGAAAATGAAAAGAGACATAAGTGTGCTTAATACCTGCAATTACGGTCTTCAAATCATCCGGGTGTTCCAGATAACGCGGGTCAATATCTGGGTAATCAAAAGGATCCCTACTTCTGAGGCGGATCGTTCCTCTGCTTTTAGGGTGAAGAAGTGTAGGAAAGAGCATCGTTGTTTTGATCTGTTCTGTCTCTGTATAAATTGTATCCTTGACCTGCAAGCAAAAATTTAATAGTTTTCCTCAGTCGCTTCATCGCTTCAAAATTTCATTGTTTAACCCTACTTTATATATTCCTAAATCGGCGTTGGAAGGTTTTTTTTAATTAATAATATTTTGTACAAACTTAGTAATTATCAAAACCAGTAAGTACGATATACTAAAAACATAAGTGTAATGATTACAAGGACTCTCGTGTTACATCAACAATATTTCAACATCAAGCAAGCAGAAAGGGTATTCATGTACTGCCTTCAATGATTTAAAATCTGATGATTTTACAACTGATGGTTCAGCGACATATGATTAATGATAAAACTATATGGTCTTGATGTTCATTTACATTGACATATAAACACGATACATAGATAAAATTATACATAAGAGGAATATCACTAAATCGTTGTGCATTATTGCTCATCTTAAAAACAGTTCCTGTGTGTAGCGTAATGTCGTTCGGAAATAACTTCCGCAGGTTAGTCTCTCCACTGTTTGGTAAATGTAGCTTAGTTTTAAGTTGTTCCATCAAATGTTTAAGAAATAGCTAAAGTGTGTCTTACAGTTATATGTCCTACAATTTGCTGCTGTTTAAAAGTAGGAACCCAATATACATAGGTAAAATGCCCGACAACAGGTGCGATATCGCCATTCAGAATCATCGTGTACTGCATTAAACATTATCTAAAATCATAAAATCATTGTATTGGCAGCCATCTTAACATATGTAAAAAAAAATGTTATCAGAAAACTTATGGAATAACTTTGTTTTGGATGATGGTAGACAGTTTATATATAAGGACTCATCGCGACAGTTTAACAAAGAGATGCAGCTATATATGATTAAATAATTTGTGGAGCACTACTGGATTACACAGAAATGAATACCTCTTCCTTGTAGTTCAAGTGCAAGACATTCCTCAAAGGCGGGGTTAAGCTATGGAAGTTATACGTCAGCAACTGTATATCAGAGTTGACTCCAGAATCTTTCTTTTTATTGAAATCTTTGTACACGAAAGCCATAGCCTCCAGTGTTGTGGCAGATAATGGGCCTTTGAAATAAGACATTAATATACAATATCTCTAGAAATAACAAAAATAGCATAAATACATATTATCTGGCAACTAATCTCTAAATCATGCTTAAGAACGTTACCAGAGAAACTGATATTCAGATAACAAACTCATACAACCACAAATCGTATCCATAGTTTCATCTGTCTTTGTCTCTTAAAACCTAGAAGAAAATGTTTCCAATAAAAAAAGTCAAGACTAAAAAACTCAAATTCCATAAAAACAAGGCAAAATATGAACGAAAGAAAGATTTAAGCGGAGACATTTGAAAGAGTACAAGGATAATAAGACCAGTTGTTCCAGAAGAGTAAGCTTCTTCTGCTTCATCGCCGACACCTGTGACATGTAAATACCATAGGTTGGCGATGCAGAGTGATTGCTTTCGAGAAATAGAAAATCCACAAGAGGGAAATTGAAATCATCACGTTTATCATACAACTTGATGGAAAACTGTCCATATTGGTTTCGTTCTAAGGTTACAAAATATCACAATTAGACCATTATATAATAACTTCCATCGTGTCATACCATACCTGTTCGGAAGTGCTCGTACTCTTTGGTTGTTAATGTGGACGTTAATTTGTCGAATGTCAGCGGCCCTGTTGTATTTATTCTATACGCCATCGGTATAAATATGTGGTCCTGCAGGTTCTCTCCGACAGGAAGGTCAGCAAGCAAGGTGATCTGAAAATGGGTCGTACATTGAATTAAATCTATAAATAGAAATCTCGGGATAGAAAGTTTTGTCGAATCTAAAATACAGCCTCCGAAATGAAGATATTTTATTAAACGGAAATGCAAATATGATTTAAAAAATCTAAAAGATTACCTTACACTGTAGTTATGTAATAAATGTCACACCTGTTGTTTTGTCGTAACTACCTAACACTATAGTTATGTAATAATGTCACACCTGTTGTTTTGTCGTAACTACCTTACACTGTAGTTATGTAATAAATGTCACACCTGTTGTTTTGTCGTAACTACCTTACCCTGTAGTTATGTAATAATGTCACACCTGTTGTTTAGTCGTAACTACCTTACACTGTAGTCATGTAATAATGTCACACCTGTTGTTTTGTCGTAACTACCTTACACTGTAGTCATGTAATAATGACACACCTGTTATTTTGTCGTAACTACCTTACACTGTAGTTATGTAATAAATGTCACACCTGTTATTTTGTCGTAACTACCTTACACTGTAGTCATGTAATAATGACACACCTGTTATTTTGTCGTAACTACCTTACACTGTAGTTATGTAATAATGACACACCTGTTGTTTTGTCGTAACTAACGTTCAAATTTATGGTAAGGATCTGTCAAACTTTCTGCTCCATTACACAAAAGTGTATTGCTTTGATTTATTATATTATATAAGAAGACCTAATTTCGAACCCACACCCTTGGTAACTACAGAAAAGGACTCTGACTGGTCACTAGTTATGCTAAATCCAATACAGTTTGTGATTTTCAATCTTACACATATGTCCCTATCATTTCCTAAACTTTCCGATTATTAAAATGTAGTTCCTGACTTTGATGTTATTTAAATTCTAGAGTACAGAAAAAAAATCATACTTTATTTCCTTAAAGTGTTGAAGCTCATAAGCCAGGGTTCAGAACGTGGGAAACATTTTACCTCGTAGTCAACACAAAATATCCCTTTTTATATTACATACCAGTTGTAAAAGGCAATTAGAAAAATAATTTGTTTGATGTTGTTTCATGGACCTGTGTACTCCGTTTTTCAGGCAAAACAAACATAATATGTTATGTTGTCCAATGGCATGAATAAAAGATAACACGCTGACGTATTAACTGATTTTCTGATCATTCCTGAAAGTTCCATTGTCCCAACACCGGTCATCATTTACATACCCCTAATTCCTGAAGGTGTTTCCTCGGTCCAATACCGGATAACATCAATAGCTGTGGGGAGTTGATGGCACCAGCTGACAATATCACTTCCTTCTTGGCAAACACTTGAAACTTCTTCCCGTTCTTTATACACTCTACGCCAATAGCCCTATTGTCCTTGATAATTACCTGTAAAATGTTTATTATTAGGTTGATATCTATATATAAATATATTCAAATGTTTATTTCTTTGTCCATCAATTTTCAGTGTATATACATTGGAGAAGTAGCACAAGGAAATGCACGTACATTATCATATCCAGACAACTCGTGCAGTATACACATTGTTATAGCGGAGTTATATGGGATCAAGGACGGTAACATTTCAATATACCATTAATAAAGGAATAACGCGGTCCGGAAGGGAGATCCCATTCTTACATTTCCATCTTACCTTTGTAGTGAAAGTGTTTGGCATGACATGCAGATTGGATCGGTCCAAATGTGGTTTGATAAACGATCTATAAGAACTCCACCTCTCCCCACCTTTAATAGTGGACTGCATCCAGCAAAACCCTGATGATATAGCATCAATACCTTCACATATCATTAAAGGATTTACATAGTTGTGTTTTAAAAGTTGTAATTCTTGTGAATTTGAATTCAGACAGTTAACTATAGAATTTAAACAAACTGAACTATCTTTTTATCTTGAAATATAATGTATTTGTAACTGAGAATACAGTAGACTTTACGTCCTCGAGGTTTGCTCTAACCTGCATGTCACGTGATAATTCATTCGAATAGTGGCATGGTTCAGAATACACCCATGTACTTGAAGCTGTTCAAAATGATCTGATAAATGAAAATTACAAAATTTATTTAGTCATTGGGATTCTACACCTCCCCGTTTAGATTTTGATTTTTCTTTCGATCATTTTAGATTTTCCTCAGTCGCCTCCTTGGCTTCAAATTTGCAGTTTAATTCATTGGTTGGTCTACTTTATCTAACTCTAAGTCATAAAAGGTGCTATTTACTTGTGTGTTTCTGTACAATCATATAGGACCCGATATTTATGTCAACTCGTCAATCTGTTTGTAATTAAGTACACAGTAAAATATAAACCCCATATTTATGTCTACACACCTATCTGTTTGTAATTAAGTACACAGTAGATATAAACCAGATCGTTAGGTCTACTCACCTGTCTGTTTGTAATTAAGTACACAGTAGATATAAAACCCGGTGATATTGCCTACTCACCATTATCCCGTGAGGGGGAAGGGGGAGCGGAGTGCAGGTCGTCCCCTCACGTCTCCAGAACACTGCTGTTCGTCGGGTAGAGAATGCCCAGAGATAGGACGAGTCAATGAAACAGAAAACCTTTAACTAACCAAACAATCAACCACTTACCTATCTGGTCCTCGCCGTTACAATCTATGGTATTATAACCCAAGTCTTTGCCAGCGTCCAAATAAAACTTTTGCATTGGTGTAGTATATGGTTGAGTGACTGGTAAATGGCCTCCTTTCCCTCGGTATTCTGTTGAAGACGCATCATTAACAGATCATTTGATAAAATAATCACTATGAACTTGTCACTAATTACGTTTGTTTTCAACGTCTTCAATATCCAATTCTTTATAACGAGGCAGTTATACTCCTAATACTAATAATAGTAATCAGTTCTTTCATCTAATGATTTATAACGAGGTAGGTATAATCATAAAAGTATGTAAACAGGAAACAACAACGATACAAACATTAGCGAAACAAATTTTTTTTCATTAGTGAAAAGCACTTTTTTATTCAACTTTAGAGTTTCGGACTGCATCACTGTTTCTATCCATAACCCTCGATAGGAAGTCAGATTAAGTGACTATAGATGTGCAGCAAGATTAAGTGACTTTAGATGAATAGCCAGGTGATGTGATTTTAAGCTATATAGCAAGATTAAGTGACTTTAGATGAATAGCCAGGTGGTGTGATTTTACGCTATATAGCAAGATTAAGGTGATGTGATTTTAAGCTATATAGCAAGATTAAGTGACTTTAGATGAATAGCCAGGTGGTGTGATTTTACGCTATATAGCAAGATTAAGTGACTTTAGATGAATAGCCAGGTGATGTGATTTTAAGCTATATAGCAGGATTAAGTGACTATAGAGGAATAACCAGGTGATGTGATTTTAAGCTATATAGCAAGATTAAGTGACTTTAGATGAATAGCCAGGTGATGTGATTTTAAGCTATATAGCAAGATTAAGTGACTTTAGATGAATAGCCAGGTGATGTGATTTTAAGCTATATAGCAAGATTAAGTGACTTTAGATGAATAGCCAGGTGATGTGATTTTAAGCTATATAGCAAGATTAAGTGATTATTGATATTAAGTCAGATTAAGTAATTATAGATTTGAAGCCAGATTAAGTGATTTTCGATATGGAGCCAGAATAATTGATATTTGATAAAAGCCAGATTAGGTGGGTATCGATATGTAGCCAGATTAAGTGATTATCGATATGTAGCCAGATTAAGTGACTATAGATATGTATCCATATCAAGTGATTATCGATATGTAGCCAGATTAAGTGACTATAGATATGTAGCCAGTTTAGGTGATTATCGATATGTAGCCAGATTAAGTGATTATCGATATGTAGCCAGATCAAGTGATTATCGACATGTAGCCAGATCAATTGATTATCGACATGTAGCTAGCTTAGGTGATTATCGACATGTAGCCAGATTAAGTGATTATCGATATGTAGCCAGATTAAGTGATTATCGATATGTAGCCAATTTAGGTGATTATCGACATGTAGCCAGATTAAGTGATTATCGACATGTAACCAGTTTAGATGATTATCGACATGTAGCCAGCTTAGGTGATTATCGACATGTAGCCAGATTAAGTGATTATCGATATGTAGCCAGATTAAGTGATTATCGATATGTAGCCAGATTAAGTGATTATCGACATGTAGCCAGATTAAGTGATTATCGATATGTAACCAGTTTAGATGATTATCGACATGTAGCCAGCTTAGGTGATTATCGACATGTAGCCAGATTAAGTGATTATCGATATGTAGCCAGTTTAGATGATTATCGATATGTAGCCAGATTAAGTGATTATCGATATGTAGCCAGATGAAGCGGTCATACAAATGAAGCCAGATAAAGTGATTATAGGTATGTAACAGCATTAATTGAGTATAGCCAGATTAAGATAGTGTAGATTAATTGAGGAAAGTGATAATTATTTCATGATATTATAAATCATCACTGTTTTTAGAAATCCAAAATGTGTAAGTGCATTGTTACAAAGCTTTGTACCTGATTGTTTGAATTCGTCAATCTGTATGTCCTCTGACTTGATAAAATAAGGGAGGACATCTTTGTAACTCCAGCCCTCACAACCTTCCTCGGCCCAGCTGTCGTAGTCATGGCGATTACCTCTGACATACGCCATCCAATTCAATGAGCTGCTTCCTCCTAGAACTCTTCCTCTGGGCCAAAAGCTCCTCTGTGATGATTTATGGGTACGACATGCTTAGTAATATAGTACACTGTAACCTTTTTTAGTTATTCAATACGTTTCTGATAAAGATATTGTAACATTAATTGCTAATTGATTAGAAGAACACTAAAGACCCTTTTCATGCCGTGATTTACCATAGGTGAACCCGTCACTCATTACGCAAGAAAAGTTTCTTGGTGTTCGTTCAACCATGTTTTGTGACACCAACCATCGCTGCCAAATGTAGTCTGTTAATTTTCTTCGAATATTATTGTTTGAAAAGGCTTATCGATAGACTGATTTAATTTCACTGATAAGTGAAAATCCTTGATAGAAATGATTATTGGACAACATGTATAAAAGCTTGCATTGAAAATAGTTTTTTATATTTGCATCTATATTTTCTACGTGATTGTTGAGATTTGTTTAGCCAAATGAAACCTTTTTTTAAGATCAAATTCAATTTAAAAACCTGCTGTTTCATAGCTTGACATGCGTGTTTCTGTGATACAGTGTAATAAGCCCAGTCTTCTTCAGTATTTGTCAGCATGGCGACCGCCCCTGGTTTGTACACGTTGGGGTTAGTTTCGTCAGATCCACCAGCCTCCAGTAACACCACATCATTACCAGGATCCTCAGTCAGACGAGACGCTACCACCGACCCTGAGGATCCAGCTCCCACTGAACATATCTTTGTTAGATAGTATTCATTCATTGATCTTTTTATTTATTTTAATAATTTAATGTCAACACAAATTAGAAAATAATTATAATTGTTGAAAATAAGAAATATGTTCTTATATTAGAAAAGTAAACAGTTTCAGCGAATTCAGTTTATGCTGCCCACTCATTTGATGAGCACATCTTACCAATTATGTAATCGTAGGATTCCGCTAGTTTTGAAGGAAATTCAGTACTTCTACCATCCGTGTTTTGTGCGGATCGGAAATATGCATATGCAACTACACATACTGCGATAACAACGGCTAGACTTTTCTCCATTTCTGTAATTAAACATATAGGGTAGCAACAATTTCATCCCATAGATAACCAATCTCTGGAGGGCAAGATTAGGGGTTCTGTATGAGTGCGTGTCGTCCTCTTTTTAAATTGAACGAAAAGCACCATGTAAAATCAATTGGATTACTTATTTGTCTTACATGGCGGGTATTGTCGATGAAGCAGAAGACGCTTTCCCGAAACACCTGGCCTTATTCTCCCTGTTCTTTCTTTTTCTAGAGTCTTCGTATAAGTGTATTTTTGTTCATATTTTAGTATATTTTCATCGCATTTGTGTTATAATGTCGATATTTCCTTTGAAAATGTCTGTTGTATAATGGTATGATTCCATTCATTCAAAGAGTAACTGTTATTTGAAAATAATCGTTCTATATACATACAGAAATTGTTTGTAAAAGCCAATAAAACAACATGAAATACCAACTTGTCAGTTATAATCCAAACTCAACTTCAAGAAAACTAGTGCAAACTAAGAACAAAAGAAAGATTTTTACGAAAATTTGAAAACGTATACGAGGAGAAATATAATTTCAATCGTTTGACGAGTTGGAATTTGGATGAAATTATTACCTGTACGTGTCATTCAGTCGCGATGCCTCTGTCGCCGTGAAATACATTTTAGTATTTGTGTTGTTTATCCTATTGGAAAATAAAATAGAGAACAATACTAGGTGCTCCGGAAGAGTCTGCGTCTTTTGCTTCTTCAACGACACCCGATATGGAAATCTTGGTCTATTCAAGTATGTAATGTCACGTTCTAAAATGATAACAGGGTATACAACAACGGAACCCATATTCCAACTAACGAGGATTAAACACGAGTCTTTGATATCGCACAAAGAAATAGAATATTTCTTAACGGCATCACTATGGCGACCCTTAATTTTCATCAACCTAAAGAATCTGTCATATCCTCGACAACGTGGTTAGAACAAGAAACTATGGTGCTATATCACAAAAGAATACTAATAGTAACCTTACCTATTTGACAGGCGTTGCTATATTAGTACGTAGTACGTATAGTATGTGTATACTGGTACAGCCTTGGCATGTACTATAATCTCAAAGTTATCTCTGGCGTGTACTTTAATCTCGAATACAAATATAAGTAGGAAAGATTAATTCTTTTTTTACAAGAATATACATGTCTGTGAACTACTTATACATCAATGTATTACGATGCAGATTTTGAGAGAGAACATTTTACACAAAAAAATGGTAATCCTATGTCGCATGTTACTGAGATATGTGAATAATATATGCATTACAATGCAAGTTTTGAGAGATAAATTGGGACAAGGTTGAATTCTTTGCAAGAGAATAGGTAAACTTATACAAGTAACAGAAATTGATATACCTAAAATAGAGTCATATTTTGGACATATATAAATGAAAACAGAACTCTAGGGTTTTGTTGATCACCATTGCCTTAACTAAGGGTATAAAGACATTTGTGAACCAAACAAATCCCTAAACCAACCATGGAATATCGCAGTTAAGTACAGCCACTTCCATAGCAATAAAGAAAATTCCGACATGTCATCGGAATCTTGATTCAAGTCAAACTAGATGAATCTAGGGCACAATCTGAACAAAAGAAAGAAGCATAAGACCAAGTGTTTCGAAAGAGCATGCATCTTCAGCTTCATTGACAACACAATGTTTACATCATGATCATGTAAATCTTGGCGAAACCTTGTAAGTAATGTCACAGTCAACTGCGATAGGCTTGAGATGCAGAAGTGTTGCTATCCATGTAGGATAAATTCGCAATAGGGAAATTGAAATCATTACGCCTACCATACATCATGGTAGAATGCTGTCAATGTTGATTCTTTTGTAGGAAAAGTAACAGTAAAAGAAAGATTGGCACGGAGACTCATGCAAATGCTCAAGGCGAATCAGACCAGGTATTCTAGAGGAGTAAGTGTCTTTCTTCTACTTCATCGACGGCACCCGTCATAATGTCACTATCGAGGACATCCATCGCTGACGAGACCTAGAAGGACGGAACAGCTGTATGATGCAGTTAACTTCATAGGACGGCTTTAACGTATTTAAATCTAAATTTGTATTTAAATAGGTGATTTTCACTTGTGTGTCTTAAAAAAATTAGTATTCGTATTTTTTTAATGTCAACAGGGAGTACATGTAGCCAAGACTGTAACGAACAACTTATTGTGTCAACAGGGAGTACATGTAGCCAAGACTGTAACGAACAACTTATTGTGTCAACAGGAAGTACATGTAGCCAAGATTGTAACGAACAACTTATTGTGTCAACAGGGAGTACATGTAGCCAAGACTGTAACGAACAACTTATTGCGTCAACAGGGAGTACATGTAGCCAAGATTGTAACGAACAACTTAAAGTCGGGGCCGACAACATGTAGACTCAAGATTTTTGATCAGAAAAAGGTAAAAATACTCTTAACTCGTCGCGAGTGTACAAAAATCCTAGATCCATAAATCTGAAATATCTTTAATATTCGATTTTGTTAATAGAAAATGTGTGTTTTATCATTCATGCAACATATACATGACAGTTTTTATTCACTCTTTATTCAAATAACAAATAAACCACCATGTGTACATTGTGTAGATACAGTGTACTGAAGCTTGTTTTAGCCGTATCAGCTCCTGTCGATCATATCGCGCCAGCCTAATACAAAAGCAACCTTCTGTTCATGTCATGTTTTTGTTATCTAAACTTGCACGATTACATGTGGTTCGCAATAAGGATATATAACACAACTAAGACAAAAAAAATTCGTTGTCAATTCATGATTGCCAAGGAAAAATAGACAGATATAAAATCTATCATGGCACTATGTAATAGAAAATGGCATAATATTGTCATCGGTTCATTCTTATTAAATTAAAAATGTTTTGTCATACTAAGTAAAGCACAAAGATTGTGCAAAAGTCACATCAGTGAATAGTACCATTTCATAGTATAAAGTGAAAATACAGTAGAGTCAAGCAATGAATTAAACTGCATCGTACAACTGTTTCGTCCTAGGATTCGTCAGTGATGCTAAGTAATAGTTATAAAAGTGTCTGGTAATCATTTTCATTGAAGCTAAGTAGGCGACTAAAAAAACTCCAAAATGATCAAAAGGAAAGCCAAAATCTAAAAGGGGAGGTGCAGTAAACTTAAAAATTAGATAAAGGTTGTAACATTCATACATCAAATAATTTTAGAAGCGTCAAGTACATGTGTATTTTCTGAACCGTGTCACGATTCGAGTGAATTTATACGTGACAAATGTCTTATGTTGCTATGTCGGAATTTCGATTCTACGTCAAAGATGTAGTCATTCAAATTTTAAGACATCGATTAATCACTACCTCGAGTGTAAACAAAACCAAACCGTTTGATTGGTTGAAACACATGTATATACAAACAGGTCAGTTCATCATCAGAATAAATCTTTATTGTGGTAGAACTAGGTGACACAAGATCATGGTTTTTGTAATTTTGGAAAAAAACCTAATTTGATTGATAGAAATATCACACACAGCAATTACTCGCTGTGTAACCTCTATTTGACTACCACTTAACATCACTTGTTACCAATAAAGCTACCATCTTTTCCTTGCTACATTAATCGATTATGTGGTAGAAACTGTATGTAATACTACATCATACAATTGTAATTAGTATATTTGTCATCTATACAATGCTTTGTAAAAGAAAATATCGACAAATCAACAGAATCTTAATTCGAACTCAAATTCGATGAAAGTTAGCTCTCTCTTCATCGATTTTATGTTCGAATTAAAGTATTTTTGATATCTCGGTATCTTGTTTGCTATTTTGGACATTTATTGATTTTAACCTTATAGATTTGCTTTACGTTTAACGAAAGTTTCGTTCCTAATACATTTATAGCTTTACTTACTGCAATAACACAGTAGAACTTGATATTAGATTTCGTTTGACATTTTTTGTTCTGGATCATGAAATGGTTTGAATTTTTTAAAATACACCTTGAATAACTAACAATCAATACAGTAATGGTAAGGTTTGACGTGGGTACAAAGTCTATGTATGATAATATGGCAAAGTGAAACGTCTGGAATATTGTAAGACAAATTACAAAGCAAGCTTAGAACTCTTAAGTGAATAATGAAACTAAATAATGATAAGAAGTTTTTACAAATACTAGAAAACAGCAACATGATCACTTTTTTACCGATTTCCCCAATTAATATGTATATATAAATAGTCTACATCTGTGCCTACTGCTTAGATATGGATGAATACGTGTTAAAACAAGCTGGTTATTGAAGAAATGTTCCATTGTTCATAGAAAATATTTAATGTTCAATTGGGAATAAGTATACTTATATCAAAATTTGACGACAATGCTGATGTTGTGTTACATCAGTTTTTTTTCTCCCTCGATTGAACCACGAAGAAAACAATTTATACAGATGAGCAAACGAAGGAGCTTTCTTGGTGTACACGTACATAATTCAAATAATGTACATCAACTCCTCATCGCGTGGAACATTTGTGAGTATTGGAGGTCACATATTTAGCTTTGACGAATGATATCTGCAGCTTTCTCAGCAATCATTGTCACTGGAGCGTTTGTATTGCCTCCTGGTAAGTTTCTCATCACAGAGGCGTCCACAACACGTAGACCGGATATTCCTTTGACTCTAAAATGATGAAAGCAAATAATCCCATAACCATATCATCAGAATCAAAGACTTAAGGAAAGTAACATTGAAAAATGATTGCCAAAATATTTATTTTCTTTTAAAAGAAAAATTATTGCTTGATTTCCTTCATGAATTTTGTATTAACAAAATATTTATCATTTTGAAATCATATGCCGTAATGTGTTATGGGGTAGGGAGCAATTGGAAACAAATGATTTTTTTCCTGTTGTAGAATAGAATAATAGTTAGTAGACGCTGAAGTTTGAATGTAATCAATGTAGGAAATCGAAACATAAAACAACACTATGGAAAATGGCTTCCTTGTATTACCTCCTTTATCAAACTCATCACAAGGGATGTAACTCTACACAAACAAAAGTCACGCATCACCATAACTAAAACATCTTACTGATAATCATTGTCTTCGACTTTTGCAACACGACGCTGCCTGGCTCGTCATTATGGCGATTATCAGAATTACACTTTTTAACCAGCCAATAATCGAAGATTTCATAAAAACTTCGAAAGTGTAAGATACCGAAGAAATCAGTTTTCATCAAACTATTTTAATGGAACTAATCAAAACTAAAAAAAAAAAAAAAAAAAAACAGAAATTTCATTCCTCTGCATTTTATCAGACAATGATAAAAGTATTTGATATGTAATTATGAACCTGTTGTATTCCAGAAAGGTAGACCAGATGTAAACAATCATAAGCATTTTAAAATGGAATACCAAAAGCTTTATGTACTACATTGATACAATACCTCAACAGTGGATCTACTACAGCTGTCTTGTCGTCAACGGAACCCATTCTGCATGTAGATGTTGCATGGGCAAGGCTCATTGTGTAGTGGCGAATGTAGCATGCCCAAAATGCATCAGACCGGAACTTATGCTGTTTACACAGCTGATGAAGTGGCGACTTACTGTTGACATCCATACCAATAGATCGCAGTGTACTCGTGTCCACCAGCCTCTCCACAAAGCGGATCACTAACACAAGGGAGAAGAAACAGATTACAAAATCAATTACTATAATAACACATATCTTTCTGGTGCATCTGTGTATGTATTTTATGTTGTCCATTATATTTATAAATAGAGTTAAAGAAACACAAAAAGTACGTACTTTCAATAGCCGTTTTGATATCATCTGGGTGTTGAAGAAACTGGGGGTCAATTGCGGGATATTCAAAAGGGTCAGTACTCTGCAATCGGATTGTCCCTCTACTCTTAGGGTGTAACAGAACTGGATAAATTGAAATTGATTCAACGTCCTCTCTCGCTGTAAAAATTCTATCAGCTACCTGTAAATTATGTGAGTATATACATTGATAAGATACTTAATATTTTTCCTATGAATACGTTAAATTTTACAATCGGAATGTGGAGTTTTTGATTATTAGTATCATTTTTGGAGGAGATCATATTCATTTTGTGAGGTTACGTCCTCGCACAGTCAGGATCATTTGATCTTCTTTTATAGTGCCATAAATGAAATATGAAATATCCTACTCTGGATACAGAAACATGTCATCCAACTATATCATTATAATGACTACAGGAACACATTTACAGTACTGTCCTACACAAGAAACAGGCCACAGACTAATTTAAGTAGATTCTCCATTCCAGAAAATAACAAAAAATACCAACATGTCAACATTATCATACTTCAAACTCAAATTCAATAAATATAGGGCAAAATATGAACAAAAAATATTTACGTGGAACAAAGATAATAAGACCAGATGATCCGGAAGAGTAAGCGTCTTCTGCTTTATCGACGACACCCGTTATGTAAATATTAGTCAAACAACGTAAGTAATGTCACGTTCTCAAATGAGAACAAGGTATACAACAACGGAACCCATAGTCCAACTAACGAGGATCAAACACGTCAGCTTTATATCGCACAACAAATAGATTTTTGTCTCAATTTGATAACAAATACGACCGTAAAACTTCCCCATACTTTTCATCAACTTGCATCATTTGAAACCCTGTGTTATGGGTTTGCCCATTAGTTGACAACTGCTTGCATGAAAATCGTAAAAATGGGAACCGGCTCTTGAATATCGGATAAACTGCGACTTGTTAACACCATTATGGTGATGAATGCAGGAACGTTGCTATCCAGAAATGGAAAATTCGCTAAAGGGAAATTGAAATCATCAGGTTTATCATACAGCTTAGTGGAAAGCTGTCCCTATCGGTTTTGGTGTTGGAAAAGATCGAGATAAGCGATTGATGAGGAAGAGTCTGTTTTGTCCTTGATTTCCAATTCAAATGAGTATACACAACGCACTTACATTGATAAGCTCTACGATAAATTCAGCTTCGTATCAAAAAACAAAAACAAGTCGTCCGACCGATGGACGTTCAGCAGGGAACATGAATACGATTTTATTTATTTCGATGTGTCATTATGTATTTGGGACAAAGTCCATAGCCTTCCACACATGGACGACGCTCAATACTAAGGGCAGAGCAGATGTCGTGCAGAACGCTCAATAAAAGGGGCTGAAATGGTGTCACTCGTGACATTAGGAATAAAATGTCATTAAAAAAGAAAATCACAAATGTAAAAAAAAATAGCCGCTTTTTCGAATCACGTGAAGGTATGATAGGTACCAATCTTATGCTTGACATAGAGGACAGTAATTCGTCTGTAATGTTCTTGTAAAATAGGAGTATACTGGACGGTATTTTCGCAGTTTTATATTTTTGTGTTTTTCTTTTCTTTTTTTTTCCATTGCCACTGGCATGTATTCAAGTTTATAAAACGCATGTAAGAAATGTACTTGTACCTCCTGTTTGAAATTCATTTTCACTACACTCTTCATACTTGGCGTGAAGATATGTGTGGTATGAAAATGTAACTGAAAATCGGGGGTTCTTCCAGCGTCTTTCTTTTTGCCGAAGTCAGTATATAAAAACGCCATTCCTTCGTAGAGCGAAGCTGACAGATAACCTGATAGGATATAAAGATCAGTACCATCAGAATGCAACTTTCAAAACACATCAGGCTTATTTCAATTACATTTAATATCAAATTTAAACCAGCAACGACGGTAATTAAACCTGAATCTTATGACTTGATTGTCGTTTGGATAAACGTAAAACTTTGATAATGAGACTTACTCTCTTTGGTCAACAAATCAAATGGCGTATGACGTCTTGAATGGTTAGATATTGTCTTGTATTGATATTGTACCTGTTCCGAGAAAGTTATACTGCATTCGGGTCCACCATGACGTCATGTCTGTCAGTGTTACGGAATCAGTTGTATTTATGTTGAAGGTCAAGGGAACTACAAAATGCTCTTGTAGGTTATTTCCAACAGGCAAATCTGCTTGTACTTCGATCTTCGAGTAGAGCATGTTTTAAAAGTAATACTTTCTCTATGTGGGAAATCAATTGAAAAAATGCATATAAATCATTGGTTATTCTGGAAATAGATAATGTAGTGAAAGCTGACTTGAACAAACATCTTAAGATCTATATGATTGGCTTCATTGAATAAATTTTATTAACCTAAAAAAAATAACTATATTACAACTTTACGATTTGATGAAACGACATACCCCGTATTTGTGTAGGTGTTCTTTTGGCCCTACACCAGACAACATTAGTAGGTGCGGAGAGTTCATGGTGCCAGCAGACAAAATCACTTCCTTCCTGGCAAACAGTCGAACTTTTCTTCCATTTCTAATACACTCAACACCTATCGCTCTTTTGTTCTCAATGATGATCTGCATCAGGAAAAGCTCGATGTATTACTGTTTATCTAAATATACTTTTGAATCATTTTGGTATAGTTCGGTTACCGCGGTGGTTTCGGCGGCGATCACGGAACGTATTCCATGCTGCTCGTTCTTCGATATGCTGGTTATTAGTAGAACTTTACACCAAATGGTGTAAAGACCTGTTGATTTGTTTAGTTTCTTATCATTTTTATTCCCTCCTTATCATTTGATGGGTAAGATAAATCATTACACTCTCGAAAGTATATAACAGGGGACGAATGGTATCATTAAACTATTTTCAATGCTGGTTAAAATTTTCATTATGGCCGCCATGATGTCATAGATAAAAAATGTTGAAACCGTCTTAATAAAAAAAACGGTCGTTTTACAGCTTTCATGGAATTATATCATTTGCAGATAACATTAGGGTATATATATATATCATATTACAAAAAGGCCTAATAAAATGCCCGCTCTTTGGAAAAGTTTACAAATGTTTTAACTTTTTTCATATTCAATCAGGGTCAATATTCAAAAGCGTTATTTTTCGGTCACATAAGTAGTGACATAAACGTATCGTTTGTTTGAAATACGAGATTACTTTTGTAATACTTATTGTGCTGGTGTAACAACATGGTATATCATACCTTGGTAGTGACTGTGGAAGGACTAATGTGTAGGTTTTTCCTACCAAGATGGGGTTGTACAAATGCTCTGAAGTTACTCCATCGCTCACCATTTTTCACATTTGACTGCGTCCAGCAAAATCCTGTCAAAAATGTTTAATGATAACCAACAACATGTTATATCTCAGTATATGATGTGATACCATAGCGAAGAATACAATAACGTAAATGCAAATAATAAACAAAGCCGTTGACATGAAAAATAATTCTGAACTAGTTTATGATAGCAGGGCATGTTAATAATAATAAAGATATAAGTAAAGGATAGAGATGTCATACCAAAGAGAATCGCACTATTCAATTTCTGTGGGTCGAGAATTTAAAAATCCAAATAAAAAAATATGCAAAGTAGACATGAAATTGCATATTTTAAACGATATCTTATAAGTATGCATATTTTGAAATTTGTATCACGATTAGTAAGAATTACATTTTAACTCGTAATGTGTCATCTACCCTCGAAGGCTTCAATAGTTTTCTGTATGTCATGCTGTGAATATACGATAACAACATACATATCAGTTATATAATTATCGACTTTACCAACACTGCTTTACATACCATAATCAAAATATATATCAATGTACTTACCTATCTGGTCCTCTCCGTTACAATCTGTGATATTGTAACCCAACTCAACACCCGCATCCATGTACAGTTGCTGCATTGGTGTATTTATTGGTTGAGTTATCGGTATTGGGCCATCCTTTCCATGGTAGTCTTGGTTCAGTGAGATATAATATATACTTTAATGCAAAAATTAGGCTAGTGATTATTGAAATATATGTGTACTTTCTATGACAATGTATGGTGTAAATTGTGTGTAAAATAAGGTAACAATGGTAGGGTTATCTTTATTGATAACCAGAGGAAGGCTGTACAATGTATTTACCAATATAAAACTATTACCAACACGATGTAATAATCAGCCAAAATAAATAATCACATTTCATTACACAAGTTTTGTAAGAACTGCAGATAATTAGACTTTGGTAAGACGTGTAAATAATTTGATAGTTGAGTCAGACTTGACGTTTGATAGGAATTGTAAATAATTTAATAGTTTTGTAAGATTTAGCCTTTTGTAAGAACTAGATAATTTGATAATTTTGTCATACTTGACGTTGTGTAAGAACAGATAATTTCATAATTTTGAAAGACTTTAAGTTGTGTATGAACTGTTGGTACTTTGATAAGTTTTGTAAGATTTGAAGCTGTGGGAGAACTGTAGATAATTTGGTAGTTCTGTCAGACTTGTCGTTTTGTAAGAACTGTAGATAACTTGATGATTTGGAAGACTTAAAGTTGTGTATGAACTGTTGGTACTTTGAAAAGTTTTGAAACATTTGAGGTTGTGGGAGGACTGTAGATAATTTGATAGTTTTGTCTGACTGTAAGACTAGACGTTGTTTAAGAACTGTAAATAATTTGATCATTTTGTCAGACAGTGAGACTAAACGTTCTTTAAAAACTGTGGATAGTTTGATAGTTTTGTCCGACCGTGAGATTAGGCGTTGTTTAAGAATTGTAGGCAATTTGGTAGTTTTGTCAGATATGTGTTTGATGTTTTTATTACTTTTAAGTGTTCATCACTAATCATTTCCATCACAATAAAAAATTACACTTCATATATTATTTTCTCTATATTTCTGTAATTACAGTGTAATAAACATTTTGTCAAATAAGAATGCCTGTTCTCTATGGCGTTAACACTACATAGTTGATTCTATATTTACAGCACAGCTTTTTGAGAGGTGCTGGAGAATGAGAACTACTGTTGTTATTAAACTTAGTTTCATACAGAAATTCGACATTAATTACTTGGATTGTTCTTGCTTTACAAGGCAGATGTCGTCGGTAATCAGAAGACGCTGACTCTTCCACTTAACTGGTCCTATTTTCATCCTCCTTATTGTCATTTATTAATCTCATTGTAAACATTTCTTTCGTTCATATTTTGGCCTCGTTTCGTTGATTTTGAATTATAGTTATAATTATGGATAATGTCAATATGTTTTATGCTATTTTGTGAAAGATATGTTTTTATCAAGTATCAGTAACTTATATGAGGTATTATCAAATATCTAACTCATCAGGTTACAGTTTTTGATGAAAGTTTTACCCGATGTCTTCAACTCCTCAATCTGGATATTTTCTGATTTAATGAAGTACGGGAGGACATCTTTGTAGCTCCAACCCTCACAACCTTCTTCAGCCCAGCTGTCGTAATCATGACGATTACATCGAACAAATTGTAAAAAGTTCAGAGCGCTGGATCCTCCCAGAACCTTTCCGCGAGGCCAGTATGACCGCTGTGTTGGAGTGAAGGGAATTATTATTATACCATAAAACTGAATACGAGATCATTAGGCTTTTTTACACAAGTGTAGGTAAGAGAGGGCCACCCGAACTTGAACTAGACGTTTTCTTTTACCACATTAATTTTTGCATCTGATTATTGCTATCCTAAACACATACATAACAAATTTTTAAAACTGTTTCGGCATAGAATTACGAAAAACAGCCCAATAGTTTCCTACTGGTTCAGGACGATATAATGATTTTATTGTATTTTCGGGGACATCCACGTCATTTTTTCTTTGGTTCATTTTGGTCTCGTGTCATCAATCTTGAGTTTGGATGAAATTTTGTTAACATGTTCATCTTTTCTTATTATTATTCTAATGCTTTTACATCACACCATTGATACCGCTAACATTACTTTGATTGTATTCGAATATTGATCAACAGTTAACCTACCTGTTCTTTCAGAGCAAGGCATGCATCTTTCTGTGGCTCAGTGACATACATCCAGTCCTGTTCTGACTCCCAAAGCTGTTCAGCTTCTCCAGGAACCATAATGCTAGGATTGGCTTCATCAGAGCCCCCAGCCTCCAGTAGTAGGATTTCCTTATCACTGTTTTCTGATAAACGTGAGGCCAGCACGGACCCAGCCGAACCAGCTCCAACTGGACGTTGGAAAAATAGATTGAAATAGAACCAGAGGTCATTTAAGTGAACAACTTCAATTTCACCAGCATAACATTAACTGCTAATAAGATCTAGTTAATTTTTACAATAGAAAACCATATATCGTTAAAAAAATATCTCATTTAGCACCATTTCGATAACACATAACTAGATATGATGGATATCTATCTTTCAGCTGATCTTGATCGTTGAATTGGTAACCCAAATAGAAACTGCAAGCGCGGAACGTTCATAATCACAAGCAATACATTTGAATGATCGACGGTTTGTGCCATCGTATGCTAACGTCATGCATTTTTTCATGTCATGACGTGACCTACATCATATTTTCTCATAACTGAAGAACAAAATACCGTGCAACGAAAGTTAATTGTGAAATCATGTCCGATGTCAAAGTAAGATACATAATTGTATCTGAAAAAGTGGAATATAACCATTTGTGCCGCTCACTGTTCACGAGGGACAAAATTATGAGAATAAAAATTTGCGATGATTAATCAATGAGAGATTGCTAGCTAGCTATGAGTGGTAGCTCGATCGCCGTTATACATTTTAATTCTTTTTCTTGGTAGTATTATTCCCATTTCTCTTATATTTATGTATATGTCGAAATTGACTTATTGTCCAACGTCTTACGTCACACTTTTGGGATCTTTTACTGTGAGTATAAAGACGCAGATTAAAAGAGACAACGTACAACGTTCATGATCTTATTTATTGTTTTTTCATAACAATTTCTTGTTCAATAACGAAATTGCAAATATTTCTTATGTTCATAAATGAATAGTTTGATTCAGATTTACAGGGAATATTTCGTTAGAGGCTTTTAATAACTTATTTATTTAATTTTTACTACTTCACTTACAAGTCGATATTCCCATTCTACATCTTGTCGAATTCTTGCGACACTTAGAGTAGGCAAACACACTTCAGCTTACCGATTATATAGTCATAAGCCTTGTTCAATCGTTTCGGAAAGTCGTCGTTCTTTTCATGTTCACCCGTAGAATATAGATACAGAAATGCAGCGAAAGCAGCAACGCAGAATGGCAATATAAACTTTTCCATTACCTCTGAAATGGAGGAAAGTAACAAATGAAATCCCATCTAATATAAGATATGCAATCTATTTAGAGACGGAACAATGGCTAATGGAACTTCAGTATAACCATGATATTGATCGTCTATCAATGACAAGGATGCGGACAAACCTCCCGTGTTTGGATTCCTAAATTTCACAAAATTCCTTAAAAACAACGTTTTATTGCTGGCTGTTCAACCAAACCTTTGTCCATACTTCTTACTGTCATTCTTAGTACTGTCAAATCAGCGTTACAATCTTATTTTGATATTGTTTACTCAGGAAATAAAATGAATTGTATGGGAATTATAACGAATCGAAATCAAAACAATCCTCAACAATCTCTTCTGTTTTTTTATCTATAAAAACAATTTATTATCCCACTCATTACAACACCATACCCATTCTAAATTGAAAGAAAGCATTACTTCTCTTCTTATGGTAGTTTTTTCCCCAAGAAAAGTGAAGAGCAGTACAAATATATGGCGAGGAACTAGAAATAATAAAGAGGAAATAAACGAAAGACGAAGTCATTAAAATGATTGACAACATCTTCGTCGAGTTCAGCGGTAAGATCTTCCTACAGACTGATGGCATTCCTATGGAAATCAACTGTGCCCCTATGTTGGCTAACCTGTCATGATTTTCATAAGAGTTTATCAAAACAGGTAATACATATCTTGCCATGTCCTACACTTTCACTTTGAGATATATTGACCACGCCCGTCGTATATACCCACCAAAATTCTTCTATATCAGTCACTTGTCTCGATCTTTTACTACAACGAAATCAACATGAAGAGCTTTCCACCAAATTGTGTGATTAGTTTGATGGTCTTTTTCTTCTTTTCAGGAGTCTCTGTGTAAGCCTTTCTATTTTTCCCACATATAGTGAAAACATAACCAAAGAATACAATGTGGCGGATTCGGGTTTTGCCGTAGTAGATTTATATTTATATGCACCATTGCATACGGTGACACCCTGTCACTGGACAAGCTAGGATAGTTTGTTACACTAGGTTCCATTTTGTAATACTTTGTGCAATTGGGGAAGCTCATAACTCCTTTATTTTGTTTTGAGTTCTCTGTATCCTTGTTATCCCTAAACTAGTCCTGTATTCTGGTGTAATAATACACAGTTGTTACCTATATGCTATTTTCCTGTTGCACACCAGCTTGAATCTCATCACAAATGTATAAGCAAGTTGGCATTTTGTTACTATATATTTATAGTACTAATTAAAGGGACCATCTTGACCATATAAGATTGTCCATCTTTAGGACTCATAACTATACCAAAGAGCTTTATATATATTCATTCATTGTAAATATCATCATCCTTTTCCATATTAAATTGTTGAACATAAAATACTTCTTTTGGTTGCCATTTCACTCTATGCAATTGACATAATGAACCTGGGATAGTAGGTGCGGATATAACTGGACGTTACCTGACATTCTTTAACAACGTAAGTCGAGGAAACATCCTCTTGTGTTAAAGCCCTTAAGTTTACTACCGATATATTTGTGACGAAATGCAGTTTATACAAATGTATGCTCAGGTTATATGAGTCAAGTGTTGTAACAAAAATAGACGTATGATAAGATATCCATACACACTTGTCTAACATTAATCGTTAACTAAATGTAGTAAATTAAAACGTACCCGATTGTTGTTCTTTACACTAATCCTCCAGTGATTATCCTTGGTATTAAAGTCTTAATATTTCATGATTGGCTACTTTTGTTATAACACATATCATATGCTTACTCTGGTTATTTAGCGACAATGAAGAAATGTGCTCATGTTATCTAATAGTTCGATGGCCTTGATGAAAAAAGTGCAAATCAATTCACATCCGGTGAAGGCCTTGAGTGTTGGCGACGAATTATGACCACATGATAATTACATATGGTTCTGTATTCACTATTTGATGTATGAAATGTGCTCTTCACAAGCACACAAACTGTCATCGGTCATGAAACTCATACTTACACAACTTGTACGCTTCGAAGGACATCCGGACTTCTTTTGTTTGGGTTTTTTTTCGAATGTTGTTTACATTGTTTCTTTATCTGTGTGTGTTATTTATAGGTACGAATTTAGTATTACGAAATTGTAGCATATGAGGATGTATACAAAAATTTACAATAATTCAGTCAATGTAGCATTGTTCTAGTGAAAATAGTTTGCCTTTATTACATATTTACACTTGCAAAGTTTAGCACTGTACAACATAACCAGATCTTTGAACTCGCGCATGAAAATTTAATAGCAACTTCGTCTGCAAATACATGGATATATAATTAAATTTTGTTTATCATGTTTATCAAATAAAACACAAAACTGAACTCTTTCTCAGATCAGATATGATAATACGTGAAAATGTTTGTTTTTTATGTAACTATCGTACTTAAAAAAGGAACTTATTACAGCCGCGGAGGAAATTTTCGATTTGTTGTGAAGAGTCAACATTGGCTGATCTACTCATTAAACACCCTCCAACCAATAAACGACTTACTTTTCTGGAGTTGTAATGTTATGAACTAACAAGGACTTCTCTACAACAAATTTTGATGAAAAATATAAGGATTTGATTTTACTTTTTAATGTTAAACACCCTCGGTCAGAATTCTGATTATTTCTGCGCCCACTGAAAAAATTCTTATATTAAATCCCGTCTTCTAATTTTTAGTTTAGTTCGATTTCAAAGTGGAAAATCCTTACAAGCTGAAAAGTAACATTTACGATTTCAGTATACAAGCTGAAAAGTAACATTTACTCATCCATTAATACTGAACGGTAACTACATAATACATATAATACAAAATGTCTTTATTGGCCCAGAGTTTATCCAGTCTATTTTTGAATGTATTTATTGAAGGCGGAAATATAACAGCTTCTGGTAGGCCATTCTATTCTTTACAAATAGTGAAGAAAATGTACTGAAAGGATAACGAAACGCAACTTCTTTAATTGTAAAATATTTTGTTATGAATGTAACCAGGCGTATAAAAAGTAAGAGGAATATTACGGCAATAAATGTTAAAAATCCGTCAACCGTGACAAAATTACCAATATATCGTGACCGTACAAGTACATGCGTTTTTTCCCATTCAAACTAGCGATTTTTGACTAAGACATGTGATCACCAATACATTTGCAAACAATAATTGCATGTTTTGTTAAAACTTACTTGATTATGTTACAACACTTATGTCATCAGATGCTTGTCCTTGGGATGAATGCCTTACGTATGTCACGGCGGTGTTAGTTATTCCGAGTCAGTTTGGTACAATTATTTTGATTGGATATTAACTAAGGCAGAAAGAATTCTCACATTATAGAGTTTCCACTGAATGAGACTCCGTCCTGACGACCAAGCGCTCACATGACAGATTACACATTAAGTTGAATGTAATCACTAGAGAGCTATATCCTAGATCTGCAGGCCGATAAAAATGCACCAATATTATCTTATATGTTTCTTCGTTTTCATACTAGCATTAGGTTCGTTTGGAATTTGCATCCAACTATCATTCGAATGTGTTGTTATTTTGTCATTCGAATGTGTTGTCGTTATTTCGTCATTCGAATGTGTTGTTATTTCGTCATTCGAATGTGCTGTCGTTATTTTATCATTCGAATGTGCTGTCGTTATTTCGTCATTCGAATGTGTTGTCGTTATTTCGTCATTCGAATGTGTTGTCGTTATTTTGTCATTCGAATGTGTTGTCGTTATTTCGTCATTTAAATGTGCTGTCCTTATTTCGTCATTCGAATGTGCTGTCGTTATTTTGTCATTCGAATGTGTTGTAGTTATTTTGTCATTCGAATGTGCTGTCCTTATTTCGTCATTCGAATGTGCTGTCGTTATTTTGTCATTCGAATGTGTTGTAGTTATTTTGTCATTCGAATGTGTTGTAGTTATTTTGTCATTCGAATGTGCTGTAGTTATTTCAACTTTTTACTTCTCATTGATTTCTTCATTCACCTACGGAAGATATATACATGCATTAGGAAAGCAATTTTTCAGTTAAATCTAGAAATGGGGGATCAGCAGCCCCACAATTTAATGAAATGTAACTTTTATATCGAATAATTAAAAAAAAATAAGATACAAGTGATTATTCTGAACCGTGCAACTATTTGGATGAATTTAAATGTGGCATGCAGATTACGGCAAGCCTTAAGGACTGGTAGTCCACCAACAGTGTCTACCACCTGCTATCTCAAAGATTGTACAAAAGACACATATTTAGAGTTAGATACAGTAGAACTAAACAATGAATTAAGAATAGACTGCCTCTGCCTCCCAAGTGATAATTCAGACTGACTTAAATATGCTGGCTTCAAAATGACTTCAGAAGCTAATATAACAGCTGGTTCGTGCTATGGGTGACATCTGTAGTCGTACGTTTACAAATAGGCATTCAAGTACAAACATGTACATACGCAAGAATTTTTATGCCAAAAATGTAAAAATGTGTGGGTCTTGGGTAAATTGTTACAATATCATTTCATCATTTTGTTAAGGAAACTAAACATCAACATGTTGATAATAAATGTTAGATATCATATATGCAAAGCATGGAGGCACAGTTGAATTAGGAACAGGAGATAAAAATGTGATGAATTTTGAGAAAATCTTATTTGAATTGAAGTATTGTAAACTGAACTGAAATAAATTTTTTACACTTACTTTTATTGGTACAAAGGTATTGTCACCTTCACTAATAACCCACTGAAGCAAAATGGCCGTCGTGTTCCTTGAAAACCACAAAAATTAAACGTTCTTACAACTGGTGAGTCAATATTCTAACAAGAATGCTAAATGATAGAGTTAAGTCGGTTTACACATCAAATCACCTAATCTGGAATTCAATCAGGCTTCTTCGTCCTAGAGTCAGATTAGCCATGTCAGTTTTGGTCTACATCGTACAGTAATGTAGTTCGCATTGTCGAAGTTGACCATACAGCGAAATCTACTTTACTCGACTTTTGGATGCAAAGGCTTACTGGTTTTCAGATACATGTAGCATCCTAAATAGTGCATGATGCTGGCTACGTGGGCGCATACCGCCGTGTTCCTCTGTCCATTAGGACATTGGCAATATTCAGTGTTCTTGTCCAACCAGTCCAGGCTTTACAATCTGCATCATCCAGGGAGGAGAAACGCAGAGTAAAAGGACACTCCTGCTTTGATAGCATATGTGATATTCCCAAAAAGATCATTGATGATTTTCTTTGATCTGGAAGGTATCTGGGAAATCAACATTTCATCAGTGCGGATTTCAACGTCTTTTGAGATGATGCGAACAAATACATGAGGACCAAGGACATCTCAGCTTGAGATGAAAAATGAGTTGGTTTTTTGCGCGCTTGGGCAATATGGTCGATATTTGATTGAAACACTTCATTCAAAGTTTGCATTATGCGTTGGAAGACAGTCGTAAAATAGATCCTCTATGGATAATAGTGGAATGTTTCACAAGGGAACCAACTTTGCAATGCATCGGCGAGGGGTCTCGAAGATTGAAAAATCTTTAAGCCAACCCCTATGGGAAGTTAGCATTGCTGAAAACCCCATCTTTTAGCTAACTTTCCTTTCAGAGACTCCGCCCCCAGTCTTAAGGGTCACATATACGTTTTAATGTAAAAAAAATGAGTGATTACTCCTTAAGATTTTTCAGACTTAATATCATTGAAATATTAGGAGACAGAGTAGTGTTTTGAAGAAATATTTTAGCCGAATTCCCCGTTCGAACACCGTTCTGAAGTCCCAAAGTTTCCAGGCTCAAACCAACCGTCTAAATTGAAGAAAAATTACCACCATAATGATGTGCCAGACTAAATTTGATTAAAACATGCCAGGACAATAAGAAAAATAAGTGCTTTAAAGTGAAAAACTAGTCAAATTTCTATGTGGGGCTCGGCTCCTAGAGGGTCGAATCAACTTTGTGAGTTTAGTAAAAAATAATTGCCTATCCCTCATAATGTTTCAGGCCAAATTTGGCGGAATACGCTCAAGCGTTAAGGAAGATTAGTGTTTTTAAAGCATATGTTTACAAACCGGTGCACGGTGCACGGAAGACGACGACGGATGAAACACGACCCTTCGGTTCAGATAGCCTAAATAGAAATCTACATAAAATTGGATGATTTTTCCTGCCGAAGGTTATACATGACAGAGATTAGTCACGTAAACGTCCTACATAGCTGTCCAAACTGAGACTTAGACACTTAATTATACCTCATGTGGTAGTAAAACATCGGATAATATCATTCACTGCATTTAAAGCGACAGTATAATAAAATTTATGTATCATCTTATATTTGGAACAAAACATCCTACCTAATAATAGGATGAGGTAAATATTCTTTTCATGAAAATCCACATATAATTGTTCTCTGTTCTTCGGTTGTCCGAGATGATAAAAGTAATAGAGTTCTGTTTCTTTAAGAGAAAACAAAATATGTCAAAAGAGAGTAAAACTGTTTATTTCATTGGTACAATAATATAAACAAATAGATAATACAACAGTGTAAATCTTGATGTCAAAATTTAATTAAAATAAGAATACAATATCTTGTACAAAAATAGCTAAAATCTTTTAACAATCAATCACGTGGACAGAATCACAGACACACATTCAAAATCAACTACAAACCAAAAGTATTTCAACGGTATGTCTCGCAAACTAATCAATACTAACAATCATGACGTCACATTTAAGCCTGTTTCAGTGATATCTTACTTCAGTAATTGTATCACTTATTTCACAAGATCTGGCCACTTTTAAACATATTCGTAATTTCACTTCGAAGTGCGAAAAAAATGTTCATTTGAAAACGATAATTGTATTTAAAGCACTATTGAGAGAGTTATAGTTTGTTCATAGCGAGTATAAAAACTCCGTATCTTCCACTTGAAAATGGTATGGTAGAGTTCTTATTATGTATGTTAATGATGGTTTGAACAGCATGTCATAAGAGTTGCAGAACTTTTCTGTGACATTTGGCTTAACGCAACTTCTTATCTTTGATGTGGACTATAATCGAAAAATAACAAGTCGTGATGAGACCTACGTTTCTATCTCTATAGTGTCATTGTTATGTACACTGCATTTATCAGTAAATATTTATAACCATATCTGTGGTAAGTGTCCTTACCGATAATAACTGATTTAAAACCTGACAGGCAAAAGTGTGTTCTGAAATAAATTTGTAACATTAATTAATACTCAAAGTGTTGTAAACACAGGGGTAAAACTTCAAAGTCCAGTCAGGCATTTTATAAAAATATGCATTATATTACCAAATATTTTGGGCATAAATTACAACATATTCGGGAAGCTAAGTTTTCTTTATAACTTATACACAAAATAACAAAACAATTTGTTATTTTTCATCATTGTGATGTTAATCGTTGTAAATATTTGTGGACAAAAACATTCAATTTCGGGACTTACAATAACACACACAATCTTACAAAATACCCCTAGTTTTGTCCATTGTTAATGGGCATTTTACACGGTTAATCAAAAGTGCAACACACAAATGTGATAATAAGCATAATACATTATAACAAGTAAAAACTAATTTATGATGTGAACAACATCAAGCACAAGAAATGACTGACCTACAAATAGTGTGAAATAAAACTTAATTTGACTATATCGTGTAAATATGGAAAAAATATATCAGAAACATTAAAAATGGGGAAAAAAGATCTTCAAAAAACGAAGCAACAGAACAATAATATCATTATCATCTGAGATCATGCCTCAGGATCACGTGATCACATAATGTGTAATATAAAACATACTTCTATCCTTTCTGAATTGTGATATAGGGCAGTTTTTCGTGCGGCAGAAACAACACAATTATCACTTAATTTAACAGATCTACGCTTCAAGATATGGGTAACAATGTAAAACGAAGTAGGATCTTAATCTTAATAAATAAGTTAATATACATGTTAATTCTCAATAGTTTCAATGTAACTCTGATTTAAGTTGATAACTTCAAACACGAGGGCACGTCGAGAGTCTTATCTCTCTGGATAGTATTTGGTTTTCTTTGTTTTGAAATAAATAAAGTATCGCAAAGTCAGTTTATCGAAATAAAATACACAACGACCATTTTTCCTACATCTTGAAACATTTTACAAAGTTCATCAACGTTATCAAGCAATGAGTTCAGTGTAATTATAATGATTACAAGGAAAACTGTGGTTAAACTAAATTTCCATCGTGATGTCTTTCAGAAAAAAATATATAGAAAAAATTCAACTAATGATTTTGTTCTTAGCTGAAGTAAAAATCATCTTATGAATGGAGAACAACAAATAGGAACCAATGTATAGATAAAATAAATTCTGTGACAACTACATAACATTCCAAATATATTCATTGTGGTAATGATACAGTTATGTACAGGTATAAGTATAAATTGTACATGCAGAAAGAAAAACTTAAATAAATTATAACAAAATTAAAAGTGTTTATTTATTCAACCTTTTATTTTCATTCGCATTTTACTTTGGTAAAACCAATAGAGTTCACCAGGAAAACGTTAACGTTCGCAGAATCCGTCAATACTGTTATCATTTAATTGTTATGAACGTTCCAATAAAACATTTTCAAATCATGTTTCAAAAATATCTAAATAACGTAGTTGTGCTACGTAGACATAACTAAATCCTTAACAATCAGTCCTATTGCTAAAACACCCATATAAGGCTCAAACTTTTACATTATCGCTCCACATACTCGCTTTCCATACCTAGTGGAAAACCCAACAACTATTAATTACTACATATTTATTACTACTTTTGAAGATGTAAAACAAATATTTTGTGCTATTCTTCGTGTGGTAACAATGCCCAAATCAGCTAAGTGGGAACGCACAAACTCAAGAACGTAAGGCTTTCTTACACGTGTAATGACGATGGCTTTCTTACACGTGTAATGACGATGGCTTTCTTACACGTGTAATGACGATGAAATAACTCTTTGTTCATATCTTTCACTTTACTGTACCTCTGTATATATTTTCAATTCTTTTTCCACCAGGCTTTGTTTGCGTGGCTACCAGAACCTTCTTCAGAGACGGGTTCCCGCCTGGAAGGCAGCATTTTTGGAATGGTACCAGAAAATCCTTTGGAATCATGAGAAGATGTTCTGTGAAGTGGTTTTATCATCATCCCAGATGAGGCGTCCTGTAAGGACTTGGATGTCACGCTATTGAGCGCCGTATCCTCGGCACCTGGATATGGTATATCTTAACATTTGGTAACAAGGTAACACTCAAACATTTTACAGATTGGCGCGATGAGAAATTCAAGGCTCTGGTCTTAGCATGGTTTTGATAATAATAGAATTCCTCATATACTGCACATCTTTCGTCAATGTTCCTGCATTTAACCAGTTTCAGTTTTCTATGTATAATCAAACATATCAAACCATTTTAGAGTAAAGTAAATTTTTGTTGGCCATTCAAAACGGTGTTTTGTAACTTTGTTCTTGTTTCGTTTTTTTTAAAGAATTTAAATGCCAAGGAAGAAATAGTCGAGTTAAAGGTTGCTTTACTACCAACGCATACCTGTACAAAACAGGTTAGTTCGGTAACACTTTGGTAAGATATAAGTAAAAAAAATACAACAAAATAGAACATATAGAACGTCCATTTCAAAATAGTGTTTTGTGGTATTCATTGCAAAGCATATCACACGAGCTTTCCAAATTATTGCTTCACTAAATCAAGAAGTGAGAGCAATGACCGAGTCTTAACAGTTGTTATTCAAACTACAGTCTGAGTGACGGTTCATATTTTATCCATTCCGCCACTTATTGTTTAAATGAATTCATAAAGATGATTCACCTCCTCATCCTACCAGCCATCGTTGTCTGTTCTGTTCCTCGCATAGCTAATAATTCTTACCTTCCTTTCGACTGTCACTTTTGCTTGTTCTTTTTGCCAGCAAAGCCATCATCCCTTACCGTCCTCACACCTGCCATCTTTGTCTGTTCTGTTTCCAACAAAGCCAGCTTCCTTTACCTTCCATACATCCACTGTAATTGCCAGTTTTGTTTCTAGCAAAAGCAGCATCCCTTACCGTCCTCATGCCTGCCATCTTTGTCTGTTCTGTTTCCAACAAAGCAAGCATCCCTTACCTTCCATACGTCCGCTATAATTACTTGTTCTGTTTCTGGTAAAATCAGCATCCCTTACCGCCTTCACGCCTTCCATCATTCCCTGTTCTGTTTCCAGTAAAGCCATTATCTCTTAGCACCTTCATGCCTTCCATTGTTGCCTGTTCTGTGTCAAGTCAACCAGCATCTTACCATCTTTGGCCTCCCAACTTTGCCTGTTTTGTCTTTAGTAAAGTCAGCATCCCTTAGTCTCCTCATGCCTGTCATCTTTGTCTGTACTCTTCCTAGTAAAACTAGCATCCTTACCGTCCTCACGCCTTTCATATTTTATTATTCTGTGTTAGTGAAGCCAACATTCTTTATCGTCTTCACGCCTTCCATCTGTGCCTGTTCTGCTTCTAGCAAAGCCATCATCCCTTACCTTCCTCACGCCTTCCATCTGTGCCTGTTCTGCTTCTAGCAAAGTCAGCATCCCTTACCTTCCTCACGCCTTCCATCTTTGCCTGTTCTGCTTCTAGCAAAGTCAGCATCCCTTACCTTCCTCACGCCTTCCATCTTTGCTTGTTCTTTTTGCCAGCAAAGCCATCATCCCTTACCTTCCTCACGCCTTCCATCTTTGCCTGTTCTGCTTCTAGCAAAGTCAGCATCCCTTACCTTCCTCACGCCTTTTATCTTTGCCTGTTCTGCTTCTAGCAAAGTCAGCACCCCTTACCTTCCTCATGCCTTCCATTTGTGACCATACTTTTTCAAGCTTAGATAATAATTCTTACCTTCTTTATGGCTGTGATATTGGCCTGTTGATCTGTTTCTAGCATACCCAACATACAGTTTTTTCCCTTTCCACATTTTGCCATCTTTGTCTTTGATCAATGCTTCAGCTTGTTTCATATTACTTTGGGAAAACTTAACAAAAATTGACCGAAACCTGGAAACAAACACATGAACATTTGTATATTGATGACCATTAAACAACCCAATTTCTTTTTAATTAATGTCATGTCTAAAAGCTATATCTTCAAGGAAATTTACAATACTGATAGATAACTTTAAATTTCAATGAGCCATCCACATTAATTTAATGCAGTTGATACCATAATGAGACTGAATATGTATACCATGTTCATGCTCCTACCTTTTAGCAGGATCGTTGGAAATATGGTTCAGTTTGAGTTTAAATGGTGCATATTTGGACAACATTTCCTCCAGTTCATCCTAGAAAGAAATCCATAAAAATGTTTAAGACGTAAGACTTGACATACAATAACCAAAACATTATCTATGGCAGTACCTCTGGAATAAATAACAGAATTGAAATATCTTGATTGCTAATCAACAAATAACATGAGTGACACAGCTGATTGTATGTAGGTAATTATATATAAGAAGAGCAGAGCAGTTCTACTAAGTGTGAATAATCAGAACCAATGTTTTCCTAAAACGTTTATCGTCAATTGTTTACTCTGTTATAGAAATTTTCATCACAAGATAATCCTTGTCAAACCTTAGTAACAGCGCTGTGATTACATTCATTAATACAGTATATTTTATTAAGCATTCAAACCAACAAGAAGGTATCAGGAAAAAGCTGTGTAAAACATGAAAACCAAGATGTATCATTCGAAAATAGACTGAAATATTTGCACAAATAAACATTATGATAGCTGTTTGTTTTTGTAAGATGTTATCATACATATAATTGAGGTTTGTTTTCTTTGTATGGTTGACTGCCACATGAACAGCCTGCCATTTTGAGGCATAGTCTCCTGGCAATGGAG